ATGAGAATCTGTTTACAATTCCCAGGACATCAAGATGGCAGAAGAAACATCTGGAACTCGGCAATATGATTTGATTTGCTAAATGAATGAGCAGTATGTCCCCATGTGAGGACTTGCTAATGATTGTGCTTGTCTATGCAGAGGGGACTGCAAGCAATGAGGCATTTCTCTCGACCTAGAGGAACCAGGTTCAACAAGAAGGACAATTTCAGAACTCAAGAGCTTGCACCTGCTGTCACGAAGATGAAAATTTAAGTGGCCAGTTCTGCAGTGTGTGGTAAAGCCAGCATTGTAAAGTGGGCTAGCAATTTCATAAAACCAGGCTCACCCACATTTCTGATGGATACTTGTGCATGGTTCTTGAGAAGTGCCAAGGTCTTCCGTGTCCTCAGTGAGCCACTGAAAGGCTATGATTTTGTTACAGTCATCTTGCCAGGGACAGTTCCACTCTGCGCTGCTGGCTGAGTGACCTGGGCAAGCAGTGAGGCCTCATGACAGCACAGGTAAGGAAAGGCATCCTCAGAGGCTGAGATGTGAGGATACAAGTGATTGCAACAGTGTCGATGACAGTCAGGGCCAAAGAGGAAATGCTTCCTGATTGGAGTCATCATGATGGGAAATAGCCTGGCAGAGGGGTAACAGCCTGGAGAGAGCTGGGGAAAGGGGGTCAGGAATGCCAAGAGAGGAGAGGGGGAGGCGGCCAACCTAGGGACTCAGCAGTCACAGGCCACTGGGGAAAGCGGGGACTTGAAGGCAGCACATTACTGTGAGCCACACACAGAACAGGGCGTCTCTGCTGTCTGCACTGTCCACCTGGTGTGAGGCCAGCACCCCTCCAGCAGTGGCTCTGGCTCTACTCTACCATTGGCCACTCTCTGCACCCATCTTCCCATGGCTGGCTCTCTCCATCTCAGTTCCAACTTCAGGTCACCTCTGACGGCTGAGCTTAAGCATCACTGTTAAACCCCAGGCTAACAGAACCATGTTAAAGGCTGAGGGGTAGCATTTGGTGACTGATTCTGTGGGAGTGGTTTTTCTCTTGTGGCGAGTTGGAGACAAGGTGATATCCTTGCTCAGGTGGTCCAAGCATGTCCACTCCCTGGCTTCCTCGACACACCTCTGTAGCTCCCAGAGTTCTGCAGCGGCCTTTGCTTGTGAGGTGCTGCTGATTCGGATCAGTCATCCCAAGGCCAGGCCTTACACACCTGGCTTTACACATGTGCACCTCTTCTGCAGACTTCAGCATTGGGAGGGTGTTTCAGAAACACTTCCTTAGGCACCGACTGTGTGCAGGGCTGAGCAGATGCTGGGCATGGGGCCTGAGCTATTCCTGTAAAGATACACATGGTACACGTGCCTGAGGTTAGATTCTGGCTGCTGGCCCCTTCAGGTTCCTGGACTACGCCAAGGGCAGTGCGCTCAACTGCTACGGTGCTCCTGGACCTTTGGCCTCTCGTTCCCTGGATGCTCAGGTCTGTGTACTGAGCACCTATCATAGGTGGCATCAAATCAGGCCCTTTACCTGTGTTCTTCCTGTCTCCAACTTCTGCAGGGGCTTGGCTTACCCATCTGTCTCTCAGTTGCAAAACTCAGTGTGATCAGAGTTGTTGGCCAGACCCTCTTTGTCTTTTCTGGAGAGTGAGGTTGGACTCTTTGCCCACTTGCTGGTGGAGTCAGGACTCTCACTCTGAGGGTGAGCTGTGCCCAGGCCAGTGCTCCCTTTGGCTTTTCTTACAGCATCTGATTGCTCTCTTTAGAAGCTCTAAGCAGGAGAAGGGTGACCTCGCCCTTCCTGATGCAGTTGCTGTTGTTTGGCGGGATTCCTGGGGCACAGGATGTTTCCCCTACAAACAGATCTGTGAATGGCTGCATTTCATGCCTTTGTTGCTTTGGCCCCTCTGTGCCCTCTGAGCCCCCCTCCCTGGTCACCTCTCACCTCTTCTCTCTGAACATCTGGTCTACCTGAGATAATCTCTGCTTTCACTTCCTGGCTGATTTTTGATTCAGTCTACAACTTTCTTTCCACTTTCTTTTCCTTCTTCTTTTTTTTTTTTTTCTTCCATGCTGGAATTGAACCTAGGGCTTGCACATACCGAGCACAAGCTTCACCACGAAATCACACCCCTAGCCCTTCTACTTCTCTGGGCTAATGAGGGAAGAGGATGGTGCGGATGGTGTGTGGAGCTTTGGAATGTGGCAGAGCCACGTGGAAACTCTGACCCACACCCTGGGCCCAGTCCCATGTTGGGACAGCGTTCAGTTACAGAAGAACCACAGGGGGAGATGGGTGGGAGACCAGGTGTTCAGCAAAGATGTGAGTGACTGGCACAGATGCAGGTGAGCCATCCCATGGCCAGGCTGCCTGCTGATTAGCTCCACCCGGAACATGGCGGCCTGTGAGGGGCACAGGCCACCGCCAGCACCGTCCTGGGGAGCTCCCCACAACAGGACCTGTGCCTCGCTCTGAGCTTGCAAGGACCTTCCCTTTCTGGCGGGCTCCTGCGAAGGTGGGCACCCAGGCCCCTCATGCACCTGTGTTTTCAGACGCTCGTGCGGCAGGACACAGGCAGTGTGCGCTGCTAGACATTTCCCGCGCTGTGCTGTGGACATGGGGGACCTGGAGTGCGCGTGCTGGCTTTTCCCCAATGGCTCCCGACAGCCCTTTCACTCAGAGTAGAACACCACGGCAGCCCTCATATCGACCTTCTGCTTTGTGGCAGGGAAGGGAAGACAGAGTGTCTCTCTGCAGACACGGGGGTACACACAGCTTCTGGTTGTCAACATGTGCTTCAGCGTCCCGGGTTGTGTGTTTGCTGTTCTAACAGCGCCTCTGCCACGGCGATGACCACAGTCGGTGAATTCGTCAGCCCCTCTGCGTCTGTGGGAAGAGGGTAGACTTGCAGGAAAAGGACCTCTCGGCCACTTTGGTCTGTAGGGTCTTCTCCACACTGTCCACACTGGTGTGTGCAGAACCACATGGAGTTTTATGAACTACCTTCCGTGTACTCCTTTTTGGAAAGGGCATCTTCTGTATGTTTAAGCATTGTTATATACATGGGAGCCGCTTACTAATGCTCTGAGGTAGTCATCCAGTTGTGGATTTGTGTGGCTGCAGAGTATAGTTTCATTAATGCACTTGCAGGTTGCAGGAAGCAGGAGTACTAGTATCTCTTGACCACATTTTCTGAAATAGTGGAATTTCTTCATCCAAGAAGAAACACGTCATGGCAGATGTAGCAGCATTAGGAAAATAATGTTGTACTGGGAGAATGCTGAGAGAACATTTGAGACACTTGGTCAAAGGTCACACTCTTTGCCAGGTGCAGTGGCGCATGCCTATAATCCCTGCAATTTGGGAGGCTGAGACAGGAGGATCGAAAGTTCAAAATCAGCCTCAAGAACTTAGTGAGGCTCTCAGCAACATAGTGAGACCCTGTCTCAAAATTTAAAATCATCCATCCATCCATACGTACATACATAAAAGGGGCTGGGGTTGTAGTTCAGTGGTAAACCACCCCTGGGTTCATCCCTGCTACCAAACATAAAAAACACAGGTCCCTGCCTTTGCTGTGTCAGTCTCTGTTCAGTCCCAGGGAGCTGGAGGCAGCCTCCTGTTTCAGCATCATTGTAGAGGAATAGTCGCGGACGTGGAAAACGCCACCTTTCCTTCTCTTCTTTCCTGAGGTGAAATTCAGAAAACAAGACTCAGCCTCACCATCGAGAATACGCTGGCGTTCCCTACATCTAACTTCTTAGGTGACTACCCTCTCAATCCAGTTCCAAAACATTCTGCCTGTCTCAACCCGGCTTTCTAGAATCTCTATGACCGTTCTTGTTTTGAGGTTGGGTTTCGCTGATGGCTCAGCACCCCTCCTGCTCCGGCTCTTGAAGAGTTGGCACTGCAGGGTCACCCACAGGCCCAAGCAGTGACTTTTACAGGAAGGCCTCGAGTAACCAGCTTGGCCGACTTGGGGTGGAACTGGCTCCTTGGTGTGGCTTAGCTAGATACACCCTTGGTGACGTCCCTGAAGGACGGACTCAGTCCAGGGCCACGGGAAGCGACCGGGGGTTGCCTCTGGGCCAGCGTGACCCTGCTGTCAGCCCTGGTGTCAGTGGGCCCAGGGGAGCCTCTGTCCACACGGGAAGGGTTGTGATCCAGGGTTATTAGCATGTCCCCACATTTCCTCGTGTGTAGACTCTGATTCTGGAGGGAAATCCTCCAGATTTTGGCCACCTGTAATGTAGGGCCTGACTGTTCAGGTGGTCTTTATCTCTATGGTCGTATTTTTGAGGAAATTGCTGAGACAAACCCTTCACAGTGAAACTTCAAACAGGATGAGTGTCCTGAGAGCAGGATGCGGTGGTCACGTCACCATGGGGATCTGCTGCAGGTTCAGGAACACAGGGCGCTCCTTGACTGGCACCTGTCTGTCAAACATCAGAAGCCCAAGTCTCCCAGGGTGAAGACTCCGATGGTTCCTTTATAAGTAGCATTTTCCAAAGATGTTGGCTGTAAGGAAAACTCGCAGGTGACCCACAATTGTACCAGAAGAGCTCAGCTGCTTGACCGTGGCGGGGGACCTGGTGTGGAGTCTTCTCCTCTGGGACAGTGGGAAGCACCCTGGCACTGGTCTGCAGAAACCCTACCTCCCTGCAGACTCCTGCTGGGAGCCATCCCCAGGCAGGTCCAACAGAGCCTGCGAGCAGATTTCTGGGAGCTGCGGACTCTGGGGGCAATGGCTGCTCAGGGTGGTGTCTGTGCAGGGCGTCTGTCTCTGCCACTGAGGGCACCCTGGAGCTGGGGCGGGGTGGTGTCCTTGCCCTGGGGGCCACTTTGGTGTGAGGGGTGGCTGGACATGAGGAAGAGAAGCAGCAGCTTGCCCGTGGGATGGCAGGCCAAGGGCACCCGCTGGCCGGCACCAGGAGGAGTCAGGGAGTGAGGGAGGGGCTTTTCTGGGGGAGGGGTGGGGGACAGCCTGCCCTGGGCAGGGGGTGTGACCTTCGCCCAGAGGGCGCTGGGGGGCTGCTCCTGGGGGTGCCCGAGGCGGGCCTGGGGGCAGCCTGGCCTCTGCCCCTCCCCCTGCCACAGGGGACACATTGTCCTTGGAGGAGTGGAAGGTGGTGCTGCGGAGCCAGACGGGGTGGGGGGGAGACTCCCGTAAGGACCCAGTCCATTGCAGCCGAGCACCAAGCACCCTTTAGGGTGGCAGGAGCGGGGCCTGGGGACCGCTGTCTGTGTGGTTCCAGGAGCTGTGTGCAAGGTGGCTGCCTCCTGTGAGTGGAGGAGGGTGCTCCGGTGACAGGTGCAGGGCCCCAGAGTGGGAGGACGCGGTGGGGGTAGGGCCTCAGGTGGCTGGCGCCGCTTCCTGAGACTTTTGTTATGATGTGTGAGGGTCTTCAAAGTGACTGAGGATGGCTTATGAAGAAAGCCTGCTGTCATTTAACCGTGCAGCTTCAGGCTCCGTCTCGGGAAGACTAAGGCAGCAGGCGCTGGGCAGACCAGCCGGCATGGCCGCGAGTCGTGCTTTCCGCCTCTCTGGACGCCTTTCCGGCTGTGGGGTGATGGAGGGTTAGCTCAGACTCCTAGGAGACCATTAGGTGAGTGATTCTGTTTCAGAAGGCAACTGCCTGACGACCTGATTCAACTAGCCAGTCGGCAAGGCCTTGCCTCAGGGATGCAGAGGCGTGTGAGTGTGCGCACGTGTGTGCGCCTGTGTGAGCACACGGGCCCTGTGTGTGCTGGCCAATGTGAAGACTTGAAGACTTGAAGACAGAGTCCACTGGGTGAACCCTCAGAAGCGGCTCAGGGAAGAGCCTGAGTGAGCGCCCGTGTTCAGAAGCAGCTGTTCTGGGAACTGAACTGGGCTGACACGGCTTTAGCTGGGTCCACAGACGCACATCCCTAACGTCACTTCCTTAGAGGTGACTTCCAGTGACACCGAGCCTGCTCCATGTTGGCAGAGATTTTCTCTGGAACTTCAGTTTTGGGTGAATGTGGTAAAATTGAAGGCTTTAGTTGTTTTATTGCCGTGGAGCTTCCGTGGCCGACGAGGGAGCGGGCTGCACTGAGGGGAGTCTGCCCCCTGTGGTTCTTGCCCTTCCCTTGTGAGGGAGGGGACTAGATGGGTGCCTCGGGTCTGCTCGCCGAGTCTGTTGCCCGCACCTGCATGAAGACCAGGGGCTGCCGGTCTTCCTCTGCTGACCACTGCTTGTCCCCGCACAACCACTTCTCTCCCGTGAGCGTGGCCGGAACCTGGCAGCTGACGGCACCTTGGAGGCCTGAGCTGAAGTGCTCTGAGCTCTGAGTTGCGGCCACTGTGGGCGACCATGTGTTTCCTGTGAGTGTGGAAGAAATGGCAGCCCAGAGTCAAGACAGGCTGCAGGCTGCCGTGTGGACAACTGGCATTTGGAAAAGCAGCCGTTTCGACCGTTCGATAGGCAGCGTGCGAGTGTGGGGGGGCTGCTGCCGCAGCAGTCCTGGCTGTGGCCCCGCGCTGGCAGGAGGCCTTCCCGTCCTGGGATTTTAAACATTAAGGCTTGACACGGGAAGCCACGCCCTGTTTGTCAGGCTAAGCTGTCTTCCCATTTGTTTCTGTTTGGAAAGTAAGGTTCCTGGCTAAGCACAGGGTTTTCACTTAGCCTGACCTCAGTTCTGTGGTCATTGGCCTTTGAAAGCACGGCAGCAGTCGACGTGAGCCAGAGCTGCAGCGTGGTCCCAGCAGCCACAGGGCAGAAGCAGTGCCTTCACCTCCTGGTGGGGTGTTGGTGTGTCAGCAGAAGACAGGTAACCGCGAGTAGGCCCACAAGTCTGACTGGCTCACAGTGGGTTGGTCGGGTCCAGCCGCTCTTTACAGCAGTGAAATCTGTAAAAGGGCCAATTTGGGATGTTTTAAGAGTGGATTTCATTAACGAAAATGTTCTGTAGGATACAGACCCCTGTTACTCACTTCAAGGCACGTAGTCACCTTTTACCCAAGGAAGACGGAGAGGAGGCCGATAGATGGAGGTTGTTAGATGGCCTGCACCCAGTGGACCTGCACTCCAGTCCTTGCTTCGTGAGTGACGTCACAGATGGACTTCCGAACACTTAACCCGTGCCCCCGCGTGGGAAGGCCAGCTGGACACTGGCACGGCTGGCAAGGTAGAAGAGCAGGTTCGTTTTTCTAGAGTCTCACTTTATTGCCTGATTCATCCTTTCCTTTTGCTTATCCTGTGGTTTTGCTTTTTAAAAATCAGCCTTTGAATGAAAGATCTGGCTGCAGAGTGATCCTGGAGGTCCAGGTGACGTCCACTTCACGAAGCAGCAGCCTGAGAGCTGAGCTGCCACAGAAACCGGGCACTGTGGGCGATTACCGTAAAGATGACTGGGGGATCACGGATGGCGGGGCCTGTGCTGGGCCTCGGAGACATCGCCGTTTCGTCGTCACCTGCCAGGAGCACTCTCCGTGCCACGTGGGCCGTCCCAGTGCGCCCCTCGCTGAGGACTGTCATTATAATTCATACTGGAATCAGTTGGAATTGTTTCCTTCCCAGTCACATGGTACTTGATTCTACCAGGACGTTATAAACACAAACATATTAACTACCCGTATTCTGCGTCAGACACACATCTTAGGTACCTCAATGTGGAGAGATAATTTAGTTGCTATTATTTTGTCACAATGCACCAATTTCAAAGAGAATTAAAATAATATCACATGGTGTGTGTGTACGTCTGTGTGTGTGTGTGTGTGTGTGTGTGTGTTTTAATCCCACCGAACTCTGAGTGTGTTTGCTCTTAGAATCAGCTCCCAGATCCTGCAGCCTTGGCTTTTGCTCCTGGTTCTGGATGGCTGACACAGCTTTCCCCTGGTTTTTCTCTCTTCTCACCGGCGACTCAGTCTCCAGTACCATTTTTAGCATGTTAATCAACTGTCTTTATGTGATTTTAAGGTCAGATGCCAGTGGCTTTGGTGCACGTTGCTATATGTAGAGTGAGGGGGATCACCAGGGCCCTGGCCTCCCTGGGGGCTCTGGAGACAGCTCCTTGGTCCCCCCAAGCCCGCTGGTGTGGGGTCCCAGCACGGACGCGTTAGCCGCGCCCGCTTTGCCCTGAGAGCCGGGACCTGCCGGTTGTACTGTGAGGACCTCGGCTGAGGGGTCATTGGCAGAGGGCATGGTCCTCTGGCCTGCGGAATCTCCCAGAGCTGAAGGGCCCCGGGCTCATTTTCCTTCCTCCTGTACCTCGCAGTATCCTTTCTTGGGGGAGAAGCTGTTTACACTATGAAAGGAAGGTGCTGTTCACGCCTGGGGGTGCTTGCCTGCCGTTAGGGGTGTCCTGGAGACTGGCTCTCCATCCTGACTCTCCATCCTGACTTCCATCCATGACGACGGAGGCTGGCTGTGGCGCTGGCTCTGTCCTGGCCTGAGATGTGGAAGTCGGGCGTGTCCTGAGGTGGTTGAGGCTGCTGGAGCCAAGTGGCAGAGACCAATGTCCTCTCACACACAAAGAAGATGGCAGCCAAGTGGCTTTGGGTGCACATTATGATCTGTGTGTGGACAGCAGGACAGACCTTCTCTGTCCTCTCTCCTATGCCTTTATTTGGAGATCCAAGCACACTTATTCTTGATCATTGTGAGATGATTCGAAGAGCAAACATACTACTTTTGTTGTCATCAGAAGAAGTTAGCAGACACATCTCTGCATTTGACAAAATCTGACTCAAGGAGAAAGAATCCTGGCTACTTAGCTGGGCAGGAGAGAGGGCCAGTCACCAGCAAGGAAAGACCGTCCCATTCCGGGGCCTAGTGTGGACTCTGGGTTGAGATGTTTGAAGGGACCGTAGCTCTAAGTCTTTTCATGCTGGTGGCAGTTTTCCTGCCTTTCTATCAGCCTGTTCCCTGCTCACGAGGAAGCTGCTTCTGGAAGACCCTCTGTGGACCCTCGTCTCATAGGACTCTCCAAACGCCCTTCTCTGCCCCAAGTTTTCCTTTCTCTGGACCTGGCCAACTCTGTAGGGTCATTGTGAGCCCCCGGTAGACGCAGGGCCAGATGCTGAGGCCAGTGTGCCCGGGCCTGCCCATGGGAGGAGCGACCCCTGCAGAGCCTGTCTGCCTGGAGGGGCTTTCCATCTCCCTCTGAGCAGGGCTTCCGGCAGGGGCAGGCCTGGGCAGCATCTCAGTAAACCAATGGAAGCAGCTTCCTTTATTCACGTGTGGAGTGGACTAGCATTTTGGAGGAAGGTTCTTAAGATGAAGACCGGTTTCATGGAAGGTCAGTGACCTTTGACCACTAGACGTCCTAAAGAATTCTGCAGCCATGCTGTGCAGTCATGGGGACGGCCACCGAGTGGGCAGAGGCGTCTCTGCCCTGTGGCTGTGGACATGTGCATGTGACGGGACAATTTGGTGACATGTCTCTTGAATGCCGAGAGCCTCGAGTGCTTAGGGCTGCTGGCGAAGGCAGCATCTGAAGCAGCAGTGGCTCGTGAGCGGGGGGCTTTTGTTTGTCCCCCACGGTCCCGCTGACTGTCACCCACGTGCTTTCCTCCTGCCTGCTGGGATGTGTGTGGTATCACCAGGCAGACACATGGGGACGCCCACAGCTGGAGATGGGCACATGGAAGCCATGCACGCACAGAAAGAACTAGAACCCCGTGTTAGCTCAGGCCGTGACAGTTCAGCGAAGGATACCTCTCAGGAGAAGGGACTGTTCTGTGACGTGGGCCTAAGGCCCTCAGTGTGTGACGGTAGACAGAGCCTCGGGACATCAACGTAGAGGAAGGTCAGATGAGTTGTGTCAGGTCTTGACTCAGAGGAACAAAGGAGGGGACGGAAGCCTTGCTGATGAGCACAGGCTCGCTAACGTCCCACACCTCTGCTGACTGAGGGCTTCCTGCACCCCGGATGGACAGTGGCCAGAGACTGGGAGTCCCACCCTGAGTGCGCTGGGGGAGGGATCGGGGAAGGAGCACTTACCACGCAGGTGTCAGAATCGGAACGTGGTCGGTGATTATGGGGTCTCATCTTCGTTTTGCATCTGATTTTTAAAAATCTAGCAAACATGGGGAACCTCTGCAAAGGCAAGTCCCCTTGCAGCTCCAGCCCACGCGGGAGGCTCACGCAGACGTGTGTCTCCTGAAGACAGCAGCGGGTGGAACCGCGCACGCGCGGGCGTCCTGGGGAATCCGCTGACGAGGTCGTTCCTTCCTCCCTGTGCTCTTTCCAGGCCACATGCTGCCACCACGGGATGGGGACCGGGCAGGGAGGGAAGGACGAATGTGACTCTCAGGCACGTTCAGGGGCCTCACAGGGCCGGTGCCGTCAGCTTCCAGAGGCTGACAAACACCAGACGAGAACACGAATGAGGAAAAGCTGATTTGGGGCCATGACCCCAGAGACTGGGTCCATGGGTGCACGTCTCTGTTGCTTTGGGCCTGAGGCCCCTCCCCAGGGGCCTGCTTCCTCTAGCCACGCCCTTCACCTCCCGGAGTCCCTTCAGCCGTCAGTGAATTGATCCACCTCGAGGTCAGAGCCCGGGATCCAGTCACTTCCCACCTGGGCACTGCTGCCCCAGGGACCAAGCTCCACAGGAGCCTTTGCGGGGCTGCCACCCTGCAGTGCCCTGGACTGCGAAGGACCAGGAGACCTCGAGGGACCTGCCAGCGGCTGGCCCGGGATCTATCACTCCACAGGCCATTTGGAGAGATTGCTTGCTCGAGGTCACGGAGTGGCCTTTGACAGCTATTGCTCCAGAAATTCCTTCCCAGAAGGTCCCTGTGGGGTTGGGGAGCCCCCCTCAGTAGGGTAGGCACTTTGCCTAGGTAGCGCGCTGGCCGGCAGTCCGTGGTACCTCCTGGCCTGAAGATGCGGCCCCTGACACTTGCCCACCTCTTCCCAAGGCCTTTCCCTGTGTATCTTCTCCTCTCTGGATGCCACCACCTTGGGGGCAGGAATCAGCCCGTGCATGTCGGGGGACACACATTAGCGCCTCTCATCTGGGAAGCAACAGCCATCTACCCACTCTGGCCTGCTCTGGCACAAAGCAGGAGGCCAGACTACGAACAGGGTGGTCAGTTACTCCCCAAGACAGAAAGAACAGGGAAGTCTTGGTCAGGAAGGTGGGAAATAGGCCCAGGAAGGGGAGAACATATTGCCAAAGAGCGTTCTGCAGATCTGCTGAAGGCCCAGGTACTGTAGCCCAGGAGGCTGGAGTGCTGTGGGCCCTGAGATGTGGGGTGCTGTGGCCCAGGAGGCTGGGGTCCTGTGGCCCAGGAGGTGTGGAGGCTGCTGCTTACCCTTTTAGTGCAGTGAAGGATTCCGGGTGGTGCACCCAGCAGTGAAGCAGGAATTGGGTGACAGTGGGTGTGTTCCGGATGCCTGAGGCGCCTTGGCAAGGTTACATTGATACAAACTCAGGGTTTTGCAGAGCTGATTTTTCCATAGCTGTTTTAAAACAAGGGGGCTGGTTAGGTGTATGGATTTAAAGTGAACGTGTTGGATACTTTCGTGAGTGTGGAGAAGAAACCCTTGTGTGCTGGTAGGTCTTTTGGAAGGTCTCACATCCTGTGAAGTTCATTGTGAGATCAGAGGGAATTTCGGTATGACCATTACATGGCTGTGACTCTCTGGGTTCCGCTGTTGCTTGGGGCAGGTCTGTACCCAAACCGACAGGTGCCCGTAGCCAAGAGAGCCCAGAGGAGACCTGGCAGCTGGAGAGCCACGGGGCGGGCCTGCTGACATGGCTGCCTTGCTCCTGGTGCTGTCCTGAGCCAGTCCAGCCTTTGCCCCTCTGCCAGGCCCACCGCTGCTCCCGGCTCTCCTCTAGCTCCCAAATCCATTCTGGCATTGTATCCCTCACTCTCGGGTCTCCAGCCAGGGAATAGGTTGAACTTACGCAGGAGTCTGAAGGCTGCTTGTCCTCACTGTGTGCCAGGTGGGAAGTCGGGATAAACACTTAACTTGAGGAGACCCGACCGTGAGTCTTTCCTGGACAGGCGAGCGGGCAGCGGTGTGCGCCCACTGCGGCACTGGGAGCGGCTCCGTTCTGGAGGGTGCTCTCCGGGGGAGTCGGGCAGTAGTGAGGCCTGCTTCACTTTGGGGTGCTGTGGTCCAGCACCTGTTTGAAGGAGCAGGCTGTCCTGTGCTCTTGCCTGGCACCTCTGTCACCAGGGCCCTGTGGGTGAAGGACAGGGAAGAACCATTCGTGTGACTCTTTCCTTTCATAATTCAACCTTGTGCAGCAAGAGACAGAAACAGGGTTTTTATAGGTAGGACTGAGTTTAGTGTTTTTCCTATAAAATAATTTCCACAAATTTAGCTTCGGGCTCTCCCTCTCTGTCTGATATAGGAGACCTGACTCGGAATTCAATTTTTTTGGACATCCATAAAATGCACACTCCTATGACCCCCAGGAAACTCTTGGTGTTATTCCCGTCAAGGGAGCTGCTGGGACTGCAGGCCTGCTGCCCTCCTCCGGGCACCTCTCTTGGTGCCTCTCCTGCCTGCTGCACAGCTGTGATGCCCGCCATCTCGGGCTCTTTCCTGGCAGGTGCCTGGTGCCTGGGCTGTCCCCACTGCAGGCCCTGGGTGCTGGATGCGACCTCTTCCCGGGCTCCGGGCATCCTCAGGAGGGGGACTCTGCTCATTCCTGGGTCTCTGTGCTCTGCAGGAGGTGGTGACGGTCCCTGTGCTGGGCATGCCACGAGTACCATCCTGTCTGC